GGGACTGTCTGTCTCATATGCTGTATTTTATGCTGTAGTTAATGATACAGGGTCTGGCCCAAAGTATTGCTCAATAAATACTTGTATAATAAATACTGATTTCATTAAAAATTTATTAAACACCAACTGCATGCCAGCCTTGTGTTCTATTTTTAAAGGGAATCTTTCAAATCAGTACATTTATTTTTAAATATGTAACAGTGAATAGGAAGCATTGAGCTTTTTTTTTGGTTCCTTGGCAAACCTGGCAGACCTATATCTACATAAATTAGTGTTGTGTCCTTCCAAGAGGTAGAGTTTCCTTACATTTTCTAGAATTTTTCTTTGGGAAAAGAACCCTCCATAGCCAATAGCACATTCTTTGGATTCTTCTCAGGAAGGTCTTTATTCCTTGGAGGCACACTTGATTTTTAGAAACAGCTTAAAGCTACTTGGAAGCAAATCTAGTGAATGATGTGTGTGATCAAGCTGAAGAACATTATTTTGTTTCCAAACAAGGTGTGACTATAAATAAATGAGGCTGATTTTCCTGTATGGTAAATATATTGGTTCAACAGCAATTCAAAAAGAAGACTTTCAAAAATGTTGTGGCCTTGGCAAGAAGAAAATTTCCATCCTAGTACGTCACTCTCTCCCCCGCCCTCCCCCCCCCTTCCGCCCCCTTCACCCACGGGTGCATACACAAGCGCGCGTGCTCGCGTGCGCGCACACACACACACACACACACACACACACACACACACACTTTATATAGTGCCTGGCTCAAAATATGAACAAGTAAAATCAAAAGCCCTTGGAATTTAGTTTTGAAAAAACAATTATACAAGTATGAGATGGAAAAAGATCTGGCTTGGCAAACATTCTTGCAAAAACATTGTGTGTGTGAGAGGGGATGGTGTTTCAAATGGCTAGAAGCTCATCATTCATGAAGAGGGTAATGTGGATTCCAAGCAAATATCTCCATTCTATTATAGGACTGTTCTGGTAGTGGTCTTGGGGATCTGTGGGACAACTGGCCCAATGGAGCAGGGCATAAGGGGCTGAAGGAGCTGTTTAGAAAAGGAATGCTGTTTGCAAGGATATAAATAAAAACTTTAATAGTAAATGTCTATATGGACTATTTAATAATAAATATCTATTATAGGGTATGGAATTATAGAGTAAATATAATTTTAATATGTTTTTATTGGTTTCAGAGTAAGGAAGGGATAGGGAGAGAGAGATAGAAACATCAATGATGAGAAACATTGATTGGCCACCTCTCACGTGCCCAATTGAGTTGACAATTGAGCTTGCAACCCAGGCATGTGCCCTGACCAGAAATTGTGCAGTGACCTTCTGGTTCATGGGTCAACACTCAACCACTAAACCACATTAGCCAGGCAGTAAATATCATTTTAAAAACTTTATGACTATGTATTGTTAAAATTTTTGTCTGTATATATTTCTTTTTTAAAAATGCATTTGACAAAAACTGGAGGTATCTAGCAACGAAATAGACTATGTTGTGACCTCATGTGACCTCTCCTAAGGTGGTAATCAAAGATTGTGGGATTTCCTTTGCAGTCTAGGGATTTGGTGTGTTATTCTGTGATTTAACCTTGTTCAAGAACCAGAGTTGAGCTGTTGGAGGTCCACATGTGTGTCCAGTGAGAAAGAGGCCTGAAAAATTCCAATAAGGTTGGGCAAATTCCCAGCTTCCAAGCTTATTGTTACATATTTATGTGTACGAAGTTTAAATCAAAGAGCAGAGTAAACACTTCAAAGATGAAAGCCACCAACTAGCAGTGAAACTAGATTCTGAACTAGAGGCATAAAACAGAGAGGAATAGAAAAAAACATTGTTAAAAAGCTAAAGGATATAGGCTATTGAGTAAAGTAAATGTCAATAAGAGGGTAAATTTCCATGTTTTGTTTTTTTAATGTGTATGATTATCCATTTTAATCCCAATTATTTAGCTGAAGAAAGCAGGTCATAGATATTACAGAGAAGTTGTTTTCTGCCCCTCATCACTCAGTCTGAATGGACTATAGCTGGCAGTGTACCAAGACAGGAAAAACACTGCCTGGCTTGGTTCATGTTCTGGGAACTGAAGTATATAAAATATGATCTTACTCTAGAAAAGTCCTGCGAGACATATAGGAACAGCATCCTTATGACACCAGTGCTGGGCAAAGGGACTAGCACTTACTTCCTTTCAGAATCAATGGTGTCACAAAATCAGAGCAACAATGAGGCTAAACATATTGTCCTGATTCTCCATTTTAGAAGAGGAAACTGAGGTCTGGAGATAGGAAGTGAATAAGAGGTGTGTGTAAAAACTGACAATCTCTTTTAAAATGGACTTTAAAAACCTTCCTGCCCTGACTGGTATGGCTCATGTAGTTGAGTGTTGTCCTAGGCACCAAGAGGTCACTGGTTCCTGGTTAGACTCCTGGTCAAGTCACATACCTGGGTTGCTGGCTCAATTCCCAGTAGGGGGTGTGCAGCAGGCAGATGGTGGATGTTTCTCTCTCTCCTCCATTTCTCTTTCTAAAGGAAAGAAAGAAAGAAAGAAAGAAAGAAAGAAAGAAAGAAAGAAAGAGAGAGAGAGAGAGAGAGAGAGAGAGAGAGAGAGAGAGAGAGAGAGAGAGAGAGAGAGAGAGGAAGGAGGGAGGGAGGGAAGGAAGGAAGGAAGGAAGGAAGGAAGGAAGGAAGGAAGGAAGGAAGGAAGGAAGGAAGGGAGAAAGAGAGAGAGAAAGAGAGAGAGAGGGAGAGGGAGAGGAGAGAGAGAGAGAGAGAGAGAGAGAGAGAGAGAGAGAGAGAGAGAGAGAGAAGGAGGGAGAGGGAGACGGAGAGGGAGAGGGAAAGAAAGAAAAGAAAGAAAAGAAAGAAATTTTTTTAAAAAGTGAAAACCTTCCTGTAAAATGACAGGGACAGTTATTAGGTGATAACTGGGCTTTAGAGCCTTCTAATGGTCTGGTACTGTTATAATATAACAAGTCCAAGGAACAAACCTTTCTGGTGCTTAGATCTTATGAATCAAAGAACAAAAGATTCTTGTAAATCCCAGTTAAATACAGAAATGATGATGTTTTAAAAAAGAGGAAGAATTTCCTTTCAAGTCTTACCAACTGCTACAAATCATTGTAACCATATTAACAAACAAAACTAATTGTAGTTTTAATTTCAACAAAACCAACGGAAGGAAACACTGAACTAAATATTTTCATTTTGAGTTTGTGAAAATTTCTGCAAAGGATGAAAATGGATATTGGAAACCTGTGCTCTGCAGGAGACCCTGACAGAAATGTGTTAGTGACAGCAGGAAGGGAGAATGAAAAGTTGTGAGAAATTATACCTCCTGCTTCCCACATGGTGACCCCACTGCCATTGGACAGCAATCAGAGATCCTGGCTGGGACCACCTCCTAAAATCAAAGAGGACTTCCCATTCCTGTCTTTGACCTTTGCTCAAACTTATTCACTCTGTCTCACCCTCTCTTCCTCATACTTATTCAGCTTCTCTGATCCCTCAAGTGGGCGTTGAGTTCCTACTCTATTAGATTAACCAAAGAATTTATATGCATAACCCATGAACACAGACAATAGTGCAGTCAAAGTCTGGATTGGGATAGGGAGGTGGGAGTGGGATGGAGGGTGTCAATAGGGGAAAATAGGGGACATCTGTAATATTTCCAATAATAAAGATAAAATTTTAAAAATGGATCTTAGTTTGCTAACTATCAAGAAAAAAACTCAATAATGTTTTTATTGACCTGACCTGGCAAATGAACAATATGCTAGGCATTATAAACAATGGAAAGTTGGTGATTCCAGAGGTTCTTTGACAGCAGAATGTCCAAATATCAGCACAGTGTCAATGTTGTTTGTAATATTATATATGTAAAAGAAAATGTAAGTAATTATACTGGGCTTACAATTGACAAAAAAACTAGTGTGGAATTTGTATTGGTGCCAGACCTATAGTTCTGTGAAATCAAGGATCAAATCTGTGTTTTTTTTCCCCCTATTGTCTCCAGCATCTGACACCCAATGGGTATGAAAACCTAGTTGTTAAATAAACAAATGTTGCAGAAGCCCACCTAGAGCCAAGAGTGAGCATTGCTTCCTAGAAATCATGGGTTTTCTGGTGACAACCTTTGCAATCTAACCCAGGGTAACTGCTGGCCCTGCCATGTAGCAGCCTCAGAAGTGTGACAGAGAACAAGCCTGAGACAAAGCATGAAGCTTGGGTAATGATTTGTTTGCCACTGTTTGGATCTATTTCTCTGGTTTTTGAAGATAAGGAAATATCATTCATGCATCTGTACACGACCCAAACAGAAGATTTCTATTTGGGCAAAGCATTTGCAGAAAAGTGAAATTTATAAAGAGACAGTGGAACTTTTTGAAATACCTTTAGTTTCATAGACAAGACACTCTAACCCAATGTTTCAAAATGGAGATTATATTATAGATTGGGTGTGTCCTGGGGTTTGGGACCAGGATTAATATACACACTAAGCCAATATGTTTCAAAGTCCCTGTTGGCAACTAATGAGATTTTCTTATGCTGAATATAAAGCTAGGTGAGAAGGAGGAAAAGCAATACATAGTCACCATACATGAGAGCTTACAAAAAAGACCCAAATGCATTTTGACGTTTATTTATTTTTTTTGTTCCAAAGAAATCCATGCAAAGAGAAAAAGAGAAAGAGAGATACACATGATAACCATGTTCTAGCAGCCAAACATAGGAAAATTATTTGGCACGACTTGGTTTTTCTTCTTTACAAAAGGGCAATCTCTACTACTACTACTACCACTACTAAAATGTACCTGCCTCATAAAAATCCCATTTCATTTCAAAAACATAACACATGGTTAGTCTTCTACTTAATGGCTAGAGGAGGTATATGAGATTAAAAAATATAAAAAAAAAATTAAAAAGGTGGTTCCTGTTATAGAGGAAGACCACAGGGTGCTGAAGGGCAGCACGGGTGCTGTGCACTAGGAATTCAGTACATCAGGAAGAAAAAGCACACCACATAGATCACCAAGCTGGTTAGAATCTTCAGGGGAGAAGGGCCATTCCCACCGTTGCGAGAGATGATGACGATCTCATTCTCATTCTGATTCACATGTTGCTTGCTTCCAGGAGTATCGTCCACATCCAGATCATAAGCCAGTTCTGCCAAAATAAGATTTTTAAATACAGGATTACCAACATTATTAGATGTACACTATTCATGGCTCAAGCACTTGTTTGGACTGTTGGGAAGGAAAGCTGCAGGACCATGATGGGAAAGTGTATGTGGGGGAAACAGATGAATGAGATAGCCAGAGATCATACCAACAAGGAGCAACCTGGCTGTTTCCCTCTCCACTGTGGCTGCATCCATACCCTGTGATGCACATTGGGCTTTTGCAACATTTCCTCCCTGGCAAAGCTCTACTTGAAAGTCTATTATCACCAGATCTCACTGTTATCAAAATCTAAGGTACAGTGTGGGTGACTACATGTGTCTCCTTTTGTGTATGTGTCAATGGGGAAGGGATATTTTGGATTCTCAGTGCAGCTTTCCTGGACCCCATACAGACCCCCCTCCTGGGAATCTTGCTTTACAGTTAAGGATAGGGTAGTTTGTCATTAAAAGGTGTTTTCTTTTTCCCAAACATTTCTTCATTTATATATATGGTCTTTTGTCACCTCTAAAACAATCCAGAAAGAGTTAAATCAATTTAATACATAAGATTTAAACTAATTATAAGCAAATTAAGACTAAGGAAATATTAATGGGTAAGGATCTTCCTCTCTAACTGCCTACCGTTTACGATATATTCATGATTCTGAAAAAGAAGTTGGGATATTGGGGTTATCCTAATGAGAAAGTTTCTCAGAAGGCAAATCTAAGTAGATCATGGTTTGTTAGAAAATTCAAGATGTCTAGCCCTGGTTCAGGGCTCAGTTTCTTTCAGATTTGCTTTCCCAGTTTTAGAGCTCAAATCTACTCCCTAAGCTTTTTAAACCTCAGTCACTAATGTTTCTATTTCAATAGCTTGTGGGGGTGACATGATGTGAGCAATTTCACCAGCCAACTGTCCTGTGGCCAATGGGCCTGGAAAGAGCCCTTGGTGAGAATGAGATACATAGCATCAGGCAGGAGGAAATGACTGGCATTTTATAAAGGAAAGGAAGGAGAAGGAAGGAAGAGATCCTCTTACAGGAGATGAAGCAGTAAGTCACAGGAAGAAAAGTGTGAAGACTCAGCTGGTCCAGGATGAGTTTAGAGGAGGGCCCAAGATCAGGGTGGCTCTGAGGCTGACATTGGTTAGAGCAGGCAGCAAGGTGAAGGTGATCAAAACTAGGGGGGATTACATAGACAGCAACACCATTTTCCAAAAGGGTTATTGCAGTTTATAATTCCAGCAATGATGAGGGAACCAAATTTACTGTTCCTCAACTGAAAAAGTATATTGTAGTCAGTATATGATGATATCTCAGGGGTTCTTTAATTTGCATGTACTTGAATTACTCATACTGAACAACATTTTCTATTTTAGTTTACTAATTATATCTCTCAATACATAACAGTTCACATTTTTTTGCCTTTTTAACCAATGGGTATTGACATTTTTCCTATTAATTTAAAAATATTGTTGAATCGTTTGACTATGTTATTCAAAGCAAATATTTTATTGTGTTACTAATCATAATTATTTTTCATGGCTGTATAAAGAAATGACTTTATCATTTTTTTAAATAAATATATTTTATTGATTTTTTTACAGAGAGGAAGAGAGAGGGATAGAGAGTTAGAAACATCGATGAGAGAATGAATCATCGATCAGCTGCCTCTTGCACACTCCCTACTGGGGATGTGCCCGCAACCAACGTACATGCCCTTGACCGGAATCGAACCTGGGACCTTTCAGTCTCCAGACCGACGCTCTATCCACTGAGCCAAACCGGTTTCGGCAACTTTATCATTTTTAATATGCATGAATTTGACTATATTTTGCTCCTCTAAAGCTGAGAAAGTTTTTCTTCTTGAGCGCCAATAATAATTAAAATAAAAATTTCCAGGAAACCCTCTTACCCAGGGAAAAGAAACTCAAAAGACTGTAATCTAGATTCTCTCTCTCCCTAAAATAAATACATACAAAGAAAATAAAAAGAGGAAAAGAACAAAGAGTAACACTTTACTTAGAAATCAGACCTCTTTTTCTGAAAGGTGAACTATGCAGAGCACAGAGAAAAGGCTGAGGTCAGCTGTCACTCGGCAAGGATAACACAGGCTTAAATCATGGTCAGATTTCATCAAAATTGAGAACACATATGGTTATATCTGTTGAAAGGCAGCCCTGGGTGTCACAGAAACCTCTCAACTTAAATGAAGAGAAGTATTTTTTAGGATTTACCCGAATGAGAGCACTCTCAGAATCACTTTCAGATTTCTTTTTCTGGATATTCCCCATTTCCCAACATTAAAATGAAACAACATCTATTAATGTTGCTACTATTTATCTTGCTTTTCAAATAATCTGCAATCACTAAATAATAGTATCATAGCAGTTAAGGTAAGCCAAGCAGTTATCTTGATTCCAGCAGTTTCTAATCCTTTTGCCACCAAAACATCTTTTCTTATTTCTATCTCTTGGACCCTATATTTTGAAATGATGAAAATGATTGCCAACATTCAAGTCCTCATTGTGTGCCAAGGTACTCTAGTAGGCTATTTAATGTTATCTTATTTAATTAAACCTTCATAACAATGTCAGGAGATATTATAAATCCCATTTTAAAGATGAGAAAGGCCAAACTCAGGTCAGTTTTTCCCCCATACAAAGACAGTGGGTAAATCACAGAGGTCCTGCTTGAATGCAGGTCTTACTCTGAACCTCATATGAAGCTATACCATCTCTTGGGGAAAAAATGTATCCTAAACAGTGATTAAGCATTAAGCATTAAGCATTAACAGACTCCTTGAAAAACATTCTTGATTAGTGAAATACATACTACCAGAATTCAGGAACGAACACATCCAGTTAAAACTGGGTGTTTTTTTTTCTGCACATTCAAATGAGTCTGGCCACCAAGCTGGCCAATGGAAGGATAAAACGACTTCTACAGCATAATTTTGGGGCCGTGGCATTGGACTTTACCGAGAAGCCAAGGAATGGAAGAAACACTGGACATAACACCCAGTAGGATATTCCTACAGTTCAGTGGCAAGGGGAAGCTGCGTCAGGTGAGGCAGCCCAGTAATTATTTTGAACCAATGTCAAATTTCTTTCTGTAAATAATATTTAAAGATAATTCTCTTGCTCTATTTACTAAAATATTCAGTTGTATAAAGAATAAAGTAGCATCGACACACACACACAGCAAGAGAAAAGTCAGTGTTTCCACATAAAACTGATCACAAACTTGATTAAGTAGTCTTAGTAAGTTGTGAAATATTGAGAAGACCTCTGGGTTTGAGAAGCCAGAATGGGAATTATCATATCAGTTCTATTTCCCTGAAGAAATCAGCACTGATGGCCAGGACCATTAGATGCCCCAGGTACAAAGTTGGGTCAAGTCTTCTACCTACAAAGGGCCCTAAGAACTATTCAGATGATACATTGCTATGCTTCCTAAGCTGTGGCTACAAGTTTCCTGAGGCTCCCAATTTAGTAGCAGCAAATGTATTCACCCAATCCAATAGCCAAGTTTCTAGGGCTTATATTGATTATAGAGTTCCAGCAAAGACACACTCTGGGCCTAGGCCACGAAGATTAGAGACGAAAGGGACAGTTTAGCAGAGGAAGCATTATGGGAGATAGAGAGAATATGAGTTTTGGTCAAAGATAAATTTGGACGCTCTCCAACAGGGGAAATACAATCTAATTTAATTCAACAAGCTTAAAGATAGACAACTACTTCCTAAGCATTAAGTAGAAGGTTGGAAAAAGACTTAGTATTTGCCTTCAGGAATCCCACACTCCAACACTCTAGCAAGGGAAATAGACTAGTAGACAAATCTACTTGGAAGAATGTAGAAAGGGCACAGAAAAAGGCATAAGCAAAATACCATGGGGATAGAAGGGAGATAAAAAAATCTCAAATAGAAGGATCTGGGAAGATTTTGTTTTAACAGTTGGGCTATAATTAATACTATGAAGAATAGGTGGAACTATGGCAGTGCTGGTGAAATGGTTATTCATTTTAGGCAGAGGGTTCAGCTTGAGCAAAATTACAATATAAAAAATTGTCTGTAGGGTATACTTAATAGGAACAAGTAGCCTCTATGTTGGAAGAGAGCATAGAGTATACATTGTTGTGAGGTGTGTATGTGTGTATGTCTCTGTGTGTGTATGTCTGTACTGTGTTGTGGGTGATAAAAGGTAAGGCAGGAAGGACAATTAACAGCTAAATCATGGTAGATTAGGAATGCGAAGACTTTATTTTGTGGGCAATAGAGAGCATTGAATTTTCAGTAATGAAACCACAAAATCTGGTTTGTGTTTTTTTAGAAAAGTCATTGCTAACAGTTTGGAGGACAGCCTTAAGTGGGAGAGACTTGTCAGACATCTTGTCTTGGAAAAAAGAAGCCTGTGGGAACAGTATCTGGGGATTAGACAGTAGCAAATATAATTTTTAAAAAACCTGACAAAGCTAAATATACACCAAACCAAAACTTTCTCAGTTTGCTACAAACCAGATGTACTAGGGGAGTCACCACAAACCATTTTATTTAAAATAATTCATATCTAATGTTCATCAGTGATTTTTCCAGAACATATCTTTGTTGTATTAAGTACATATGTTAAAATGCACACAAAATATTTCTGGCTTGCAGTTGATTATCAGTGAGAAACTTTAGGGCCAGCGAGATTTTCATGTTAAATCCAAATATCTGTTTCTATTTGTAATCAGTTTTAACTATGCCCAGAGGGTAGGTCTAAGAATCTGTACTGATTACTTCCCAATCCTGATTCTCATTTTGCCATGTCCTCTGTGTTGCAGATTAGATAAACCCTTTAACATAATTATCAGTCATTAAGGCCTGCAATTTATGTTGAAAGTTTTTTCTGCTTTTTCTGTTAGGTAAAGTACTCAGTGTGGAATGTTCTACTATTCTACAGTCTCCTAGTGGAGTTCCTCATGAGGCTACACCAGACTTACCGTGTCATTGGCAAGTCAAT